GTGGGAGTCAACTGAAATAGCAAAAGAAATCTTTTCGTCCTTGATCTAAATGTATCTTGATGGTGTAAGAGTTCCTTAATGGGCCTCCCTGGTGGCACAAGGGGTTAAGGTACAACCTGTAAAGCTATCTGCAACCACTGCATCACAAGTTCAATCCCCAGCCAGGGAGTTGCCCACATGGCACGGCAGACCTCTCCTGCCTCGCACGTTGCTCCCCTCAGCAGTGTATTTCAGTCATATTCTGCCTGTTCTGTTCCCTACTCTGTCTCTGGTGATTCATCTCACCTCCCACACCTCTGGGCTGTACCCCAGTCCTTGTATGCATAAATAAATAAATAAATCTTTAAAAAAAAAAAGAGTTCCTTAAGTACAATTATGGCCCAACACTTTCATTTATGATCATTATTTTCATTTTTATTCATCAACCCTAAATAGACGATCCGAGAAGAAATCAAGAGAGAGATGAAAAATATCTGAGATATATTATTCTCACATTTATAATTTAGATATTAAGATAAATGGAATGAATTTTAGAGTTAGAAAAAAATTAGAGATCGGGCCTCCCTGGTGGCACATGGGGTTAAGCACCGCACTATGGAGCAATCGCAGCCTCTGCAGCACGAGGTCAATCCCCAGCAGGCCAGGGAGCAACCCACATGGCGAAGCAGACCTCTCCCGACTCGCCCGCTGCTCCCCTCAGCAGTGTATTTCAGTCAGTCTGCCTGTTGGGCACCCCACTCCGTCTCTGGTGAATCTTCTCACCCCCTGCACCTCTGGTCTGTACACAGCTCTTGTATGCATAAATAAAATAAATCTTTAAAAAAAATTAGAGATCATGGTTAGCAATATCCTACCAAATTAAAAATGTGTCTCTCCACCTCTGCATAGCTGTCATGGACGGTTATAGGGCCTCAGTGCCTCTCAAGGACACCAAATTTACTACTTAAAGGTGAAAACATTTTAGCATCTTCCTAATTGAGCTGCATTGTCTCTGCTACCTAGGACTTTACTGCTTCTTTTAATATTTATGAAAGGATGAATCTGGTCCATAATAATCCTGCAAATATGTGAAGCTACCTATAGGATTTTCTATAATCAATTAATTTTTGAAAAATTCTAAAATTTTTCACTTTTCTTCATTCTTAATGTTGTCCACTTCATGAGCTCAAAAACTTTCAAACCTACACATTTTTAAATACTGATTTTTTTAAAAGACATAGTTCTTTGTCCTTCCATGTCTTCAGAAACATATAGATTTTTTTCTCATGAATTACTAGAGAAGACTTATTCATCAAATTCAGATAGATATACATGTGCTGAATGAAAAACTTGTATGCTATTCTCAGATTACAAATGGGATGCATTGATCATTAATGACAGGGTTGTTTTAAAATGATAGTTTACCTGGAAACAATCTGAATTTTATTTTGTGGCATTTTTAGGACTGGAAAAGCTCAGATTTCTGAAATGAGGGATAGGACATGCAGTGTCACCTCTTGTCATTTGAATATAACCTTGAAACAATGAGTTTATTTTCAATAATTACACTAGAAAACATGGACCACACACTCAGATTTCTTAAAAATAGCTTTTTATTGTTTCCTCACTAAAAGTGAAATTTGATTGGCATTTAGTGGCATAAGAATGGGGGTATTTTGTTGCTTCATTGGTAGTAATCTATTGCGAATTAACCTTTTCAGATAATGGATATGTCTGTTAGACATAATACTCTTAACTAGTTATAAACTAAATTAATGACTCATTGATTCAATTAATAGCACTTAAGTCATTTTGTTGGATATTTTAGAATCTAATATACAAATTAAAAGATTTTTCTATAACTTGGTCCAATAAAAACAAATAAGCTGAAATTCCAGGTGACTAGATGTATTCATTAAATAATCACAATAAAAAAATCCTCCGTAGGAATAAGCAATATAATTGCAATTTTGGTCCCAGGATACTTAACAAGACACCAAATGCCTAGAGCAACCAGAAGCTCTGTGTATCCCATAGAGATTGCGTAATCTAACCTCCAGTGGCCAAAGAGAGTTGAAATGGACTTATTTTTTTCCACAGTTCACATTTTTCTGAATATGGCTGATTTATTTCAGAGACCTGGACTTTGAGCTAAGTGTCAGCAGCTCACACTGACTGCTTCTCCTTCTGTTGAAGGAAGAAGCTATTGACTATGCTCTGGTGAGTGTGATTCTAAAAGGCAAATTACACAGAAAAAATGGAAAATCCGTACATTATTGGTTTTGAGTGTGTTAAGAGAACCAGAAGGTGCCATTTAATTTGTAAAACATGAAATCTATATGAGCTATGATTATTTCAATGGAAATTAGGACTCAGTTAGAGAACGTTATAAATTCCTTCCACTCCAGAACCATTTTGTGGAGGGCAATTTCCACGTCCCTAGTAATGTTTTTCTTCATATAACATAAGAGAAATAACGCAGCATGACTATATCACAGTATGGTGCTGTCTGATATTCCTTGTATGCATATTATTTATCGACTCTTATAATATTGACTTATAAGAGATAGGAGCTGCTTTCAACATCAGAGATTATAGATAAATTGTTGAAATATGTTAGAAAAATTTTAAATTTAAATGGATCAGATATTTTAACCATAGCAAAATAGTCACATTTCCATCTTCACAAAGTTAAAGATTAAAAGAAATCAGGTAGACTGAAATAGCATAAACAGAGACCATGCTTCTTGTAATAACAAGTCATCAAGTCTTCTGATACTAACTCTTAGGGAAAACTTCTGAGATAGAGAAATTCAAGAAATTCTGGAATGGATATATGAATAATCACATACATATTTTAGATATATAGACAAAAGGACTCCTAAAGTAACTTGTCAAGATGATTAAATGTATCGTAATACAGTTATCAAAATTTTGTTATGTTTTTAAAACACTATATTTACCTAAACACTAAGATATAATGGTTAGCAATCTAATGTTTTCCTAAACTGTGATAGAGATTTTAGATTTTCAATGTTCCATGATCTAGTAAAGCAAATAATTTGTGGACATTGAAATCGTAGACATAAAGCCAATGTAAAATTCTGATCAATACTGAAAGTAGGAATTTCATTAAAGTAAAAAAAGTCTATCATTGGATTCTTAGTTAAATTGCTATGTCATAATGAAAAAGTCCTGAAATAATATCCAAGAACCAGCAAAAGAGACACTTTAAATTCCTTCTTTGTTTCCCCTCATTTGTATTTGGTATCACAGAGAATTAATACAACAGTATATAAAATAAGTCTGAGATCGATATTTATAACCCATAGTGTGACAAAGTTGTTTTAAACACCTACATAATTGGGTTGATATGTATTTTATATATATATATATATATATATAAACATATATATGTTGTTTTTTTTCCAAGAGAGAGAAAACATATTTAAAGATTTAAAGATGAAAACAAAAACTTAATATAATCCCACTACATGGCCACTGTAATAATTATCTACAATTGTTGATTTAAAATAATGGAAAGAATTTAGAGTAAATCAAGCAATACTTCCATGTATGTGAAATGGAGACTTCTTGTTGGTTCCTAAAGGAAAAAAAAAGCAGCGTTCTCCTAGAAATGTAAGAAGTGGAAGTTTCTGGAGGTTCCGCACACTTCATCTGCCTTGATGAGTAGGTGTGTCATCTCTAGAAATGTCAGGTGTCATCTTTAAAGTCTTTTTTCAATGCTTCTTAGATATAAAATTAGCAGGGTTAATTTAAAGGTATTTTAATACTCCAGTGTACCACACCCAGACACACATATACACATATGCACATATGCACACACACACACACACACAGAGTAAGACTGACCCAATTTTTAAATAAGTTTACCTGTGTCTGCAAGGGACTGTCTGATCTATGCCAAGTCCTCTCCATCTAGCACAGACTTGAATAATTTCCCAATTAATTTACATAGTTCACTACAGAAGCTCGAAGCATCCATCACCCTCAGCTTCTCAGTGAATCACTGCAGGTGCATCGTGGATTTCAGGATGAAAACTGAAAAGAAGGATCATTTTCCTGTGTCTCAGGTCAGGCTAACAAATCTTTAAACAGCAATAAACACAATCATTCACTTGCCATTCAGCAATAATTACTGTTGTTATATATTTCAATTACTTATACTCTTTATTCTCTGTTTCCGTGTACTTACATAACTTGAGAATATAAAATGTCTTTTATTCTCATTTAATGTGTTAGATATAAATTGATATTTCATAGGTTTTTGTACATTTTATTTAACTAGGAATTAGAATAAATGATATTTTCATGTGTGCATTTGTTTCTTAACAAAGTATCCCAGGAAAGGTGTGTTCTTTTCCATTCTTTTGGGAAATTAGCATTTTTCATCAATTTTTATGATATTTGACATTAATGATAGTGGTTTATTTATATATATATAATTATTGCACAGGTACTATCAGTTTGTTAATTCATAATTTTATGTATTGAGAAAATAAGTGGTTAGAAGATTAAAAATATGGGAATTTTTCATCTCGTATGAAAAATAATTATAAAGTTGCAATAATAAAGCCATTATGGTTGGAATGGTATATGAATATATAGAATGAAAAATGGAAGTGAATACGCAGAGAAGATTTGTACATGTGAGAATATGAACTGCATAAAACTTTTCCATAAAAATCCACATATTTTCAGATTTTATTTTGTTAATTTTATTATATACATACATTTTACCTAACCTTTGATTGAATGGCAATATTAATATTTGTAATTCCTTATATGTGTTTCCATGACTGAGTGTAAATGATTTAAAACTGGTTGATCTGATTATTAGCATAGAGACTGATAAGAACTACTTTCACGTTTATGATGAAATGTGACTTCCAGTGAATTCTTGCCTAACTTCATTAAGGTTAGATGGTAAAATAACAGAAATTTCCTTTCCAATCGTCCCGTCTTGTCTTTCAGTCAACATCACTAGGAAATTAAGGACTATGGCTAATTTCACTCTGAGTGGGTTTCTTCTGATGGGGTTTTCTGCCAAGCCTGAACTAGAACTTGTCCACGCTTCTCTGTTCTTAATCTTATACACGGTGGCAGTAATTGGCAATCTCCTCATTATCACCGCAACTTCCATGGACAATAGTCTCCACTCACCTATGTATTTCTTCCTGAAACATCTCTCCTTCCTGGACCTGTGCTACATTTCCGTGACTGTACCAAGGTCCATTTACAACTCTTTCATGCATAGTGGCTACATTTCCATAGGGGAATGCATAGTGCAGGGTTTTGCTTTTGTTCTTTGTAGCTCTGCTGAGCTCTCCATGCTGACAGTGATGTCTTACGATCGCTACGTGGCCATCTGCCTTCCACTGCGCTACGAAATCATCATGGATGTCAGCACCTGTGTCCACGGAGTCCTAGGTGTCTGGGTCAGTGGGGTAATTTCTGGAACCATGCACACAGCTGCCATTTTCTCTATGCACTTCTGTAGTTCCAAGGTTCACCAATTCTTCTGTGACATCCCCCAGCTCCTAAAACTCACTTGTTCTAATGAGTATATCAGTGAGGTTGGGGTCAGTGGCTTCTTAGCTATTGTGGCCTTTCTTTGTGTCACCTTCATTGGACTGTCTTACACAAAGATATTCTCTACTGTGCTGAGGATGCCTTCTGCTGAGGGCAGAGCTAAGGCCTTTTCTACTTGCCTTCCCCATCTTGCTGTTGTTTTATTATTCATTTCCACCGGTGTCTTTGAGTTTCTCAAGCCTCCTTCTAACTCTTCTAGTGCACTGGATATTTTACTCACTATTATGTACACAGTTGTGCCCCCAACACTCAACCCAATGATCTACAGCCTGAGAAATCAATCCATAAAGGCAGCTCTAAGAAGGGTTTTCCAAAGAAGAAAAGCTGACCTCTTTTGTTGATGAACATTTGTTAATTCTTATTTGGGAGTTAAGTGCAAAATATATTGGGAAAACATAACAGAGGCCACCAACACATTAAAGTTAAATAAGACAATGTTATAGAAAATACATTTTTAAAATATGCCAGGTATTTTATTTGTTCAAATTATATAACTTTAATTCAAGAATTGGTTTATAATGTTCTTCATGATTTAAGGGTATAAGTTCACATATCTTCAGCTATATTTCACCCCAAAGCATCATAATCCTTCACCAAAAATCCATTGGGTCCCTCCTCTCCAATAACTTCCCAACTCAGAGCCTCCTACTCTGGTAGACTCATTCTTCAATCAGATTTCTCAGATTTATTTTGATTTAGTGTTGTTTTTCCCTTTGCTTTACTTCTCTATATTCTACATATGAGTGAAATCATTTGGTATTTGTCTGTTTTCTTTTAGCATCAACCCCTTTAGTTCTATTTATGTTGTCACAGGTTATCATAGTTCATTTTTTTGTTTATTTTTTTTATTTTATATAATTCTTACATCATTTTCATTTTTGCACAATTTATGCATTTTCTTTTGGTTATATTCCCCATATAATCCCCACCCCCCTTATTTTGACCCAAATCCCTCCTCTTGTCCCCTCAAACTCCCCTTTGTGTGTCTCTGGTTTATAGTTGCTTGTTGATTTTGATTTTTTTCTTTATTATAATTAGTCTTTTTCCTGGACCCTTATTTAGGTTTTCTAAATTCCTGCTATAAGTGAGACCATCTGTTATTTTTCTTTTTCTTTCTGGCTTATTTCACTGAGTATGATCCCTTCCAACTCCATCCATTTGCTGCAAATTGCATGAGTTTATCTCTTTCGATTGCTGAGTAATATTCCATTGTATATATGTACCACATCTCCAAAGAGGAAATGCAAATGTCCAATAGCATATGAAAAAATACTCAACATCACTTGTAATCAGGGAAATGCAAATCAAAACTTCAGTGAGATACCATCTCACACCAGTGAGAATGGCACATATTAAAAAAACTAGCAACAACAAATGTTGGTGAGGATGTGGAGAAAAAGAAACTCTCCTGCACTGCTGATGGGAGTGCAAAATGGTCCAGCCATTATGGAAAGTTGTGTGGAGATTCCTCAACCTACTAAAGATAGAGCTTCCATATGATCCAGCAATTCCACTCCTCTATTTACCCAAAGGATACAGAAACATTAATTCAAAAGGGCACGTGCACCCCTATGATTATAGCAGCACTATTTGCAATAGCTATGGAAACAACCCAAATGCCCAAAATTAGATGACTGGATCATTGTTGTTTTTTTTTTTTTTATAGCTGAGTAGAAAAAAATGTGTGTTTTTAAACATTAAATATGACTAAATATTTTAAACTTTAAATATGACTAAAGAAATAGAAATAATATTGAAAGAATCATGTGCTAAGAAAAAGATACACTTGAAAAAAATTGTAAATACTTGTGTTAATATAACATTAATGATCAAAATTTAAAATTTATTGACTGGATTAATCAGCAGATAAAACAAGGAAAGACAGAGTTAGTGAATTCGAAAGTTGGTAATCAAATGTAATAATATGATTTTGCACTGAAATTTAAATGAAAATAGAAAACCTCTCTTAAAAAGAGAGATTCAGTCATAAATAATAGAAGAGTTTAACATTATCCCATTAAATTTTTCCAAGTATATATTTGATCAATTTTCCCCATTATTTCCCATTATTTGATGAATTGGCATTAGGATATATAAAAATAATTCCTACATGTTTTAGAATTACTATAAATATAAATCTTTAGATTTGAAGAAAAAATATGGCCAGTAAGTAAATTGAATTCACAAGTATGGTATCCCACTGAATCTATTAAAAACCAAGGACAAAAATGTTAACAATTATAATAAAAACCTTATTATATCTTCTGCATTCAGTAATCCATTTTAAAATTGTTTTTACATATGATGGAAAGTATAAATTGTGGTTTACTTTATTCATAGGGTTATCCAACTGAATCAATATGACTTGTTGAGAAATATTTTTCTGTTAAGGTCAGATGATGATATAGGTGTGGGAATTATAAATGTTAAATTGATGTGTTTATGCTTACAATATCAAACTCTAAATTATTTTTACTCCCTAATCTTCCCTTCTCTTCCTTTCTGGCAACCACTAATTTGTCTTATAGTCTAAAAGAATGTTTTGTTTAATTTAGTTCATGTATTTGTTTGGTTTTGCTGTACACAGCATTGTGAATGAAATCATAGTGTTTGTCTTTCTCCTTCTGACTTACATCACTAGCTGAATTGCCCTCTGGACCCATCCCTGTTGCTGTAAATGGGAAGATTTCAATTATTACTGAGTAGCATTCCATCCCATATATATACTATATCTTCTTTATCCATTTATCTGTCCATGTACACAGTTCTTGCCTATTGACTAAAATTCAATAAAAGAGAGCCATAAAGGGCTTATTAGAGGGTTGAAAATTATCTGAGGAATACTGAAAACAAAAAGTAAACAGACAAGGGAATGTAATCATGTTATAAACAATGATATGACTATTAAATAAGGTAATCAAAATAGAGAGGTTATTGATATTAATTATTTAAAATCCATCTATATGTTGTTGATGGGAGATGAATTATTTAGATTTGTAAATGACATGACAACTGCCTAACCAGAGGTGAAAAATGAAATAATTGTAAGAGATAAATTATGAAATAGGGGAATATATAGGAGTAAATCTATGTAAATTTGAATTTGTTAAAAAGTTGTCAAATATGACACAAGAAGCAGGAGTAAATAAGGACAACAAATAAATTAGATTTTACCAACAATAAACACCTCTGTGTATAAAAGGATCCTATCAAGAATGAAAAAAAAAATATTTAGAGTGGGGGAAAAAATAGTTCCTCATGTTGAAATGGAAGAATTCTTAATATCAACAAAATATAAAAATATAAAACTTGCTGGCAATTTAAATATATAGTCACATTAAGAATGACGTAGCACCATAATGGCAGTGTATGAATCAATTCACAGTAACAAAGCTTAACTGACAGAAGTACTAAAAACTATTAGACATAATATGTTAATGGATACACAATGTAAAAACTGGTAAATTGTGACATCACACCATGAAATGTGGAAGGGCATATAAAAAAGTAGAGATTTTGCATGCAATGGAAATCAAGTTACCAGTTTAAAATAAATTATTATAAATTATTATATTATCAGTTGTTTTAGTTAAGACCCATGTATCCAAAAAGCAAAATTCTATCATAGATACACAAAAAATAAAGTGAAGCAAACTAAGCAAAACATTATGGTAAAGCATCAAATCACAGAAACCAATTCTCAAGATGGTCATAGAAGTCCTTACTTATTAATAACTTAATTGTAAGTAAATTTTCCCATCAAAAGAAAACTCTATGTTGACACTATGTTGTAAGTTGTGTGACTAAATAGATTTAAAAAACACCCAACTCTAAGACAATAGACATCTAATTATAAGATTAATTAGTTTTGGAAATCTATTGTAGAGTAGATGATGATTATGGTTACTTATAATTGTTTTTATATAATTGAAAGTTGCTAACAGAGTAAAGAAGATGTTCTCAAAATAAAAAAGAAATACGGATTTATGTGACATGAAGGATGAAGTAGCTAGTGCTACCATGACTACTACTTTACAATTATGTGTGTCGAATCAAATCATTGTTCATCTTAAATGTATACAAAGTTATATGTTAATAAATTTGGAATAAAAACCAAGATCCAACTAAAGGCTTTCTATGTGATACATACTTTACATTTATGGACTCTCATTCTCTGAAAGGAAAGGGAGGGAAAATGATATTTCATGTAAATGGAAAACAAAAGAGACACTTGCACCAGACAAAAGAGACAATAAGTCAAAAGCTTTAAGAAGAGACAAAATCATTTTTACACAATGATAGAGATAGATTCATAAAGAGGTTGTAACAAATGTAAATCTATCTACACCCAACATCTAAGTGTTTTTAATTTAAAGCAAATGTTCAAAAATCTGAAGGCAGAATGAGAGCAACACACACACAAATAATAAGAAATATGTCTGATTTTTTCAGACATATTTCTTTGTTATTTGGTCTATGTCATCAGAAATCTATATATTTTTTCATTAACTAATAGAGAGGATTTATTCTCTAAATTAAGAAACTACATGTACTGAATGAATAACTTAAAACCTTGTATGCTACTCTTAGTTCATAAAAGTGGATGCATTGATAACCAGTTGTAAGGTTTTTTAAAGTGATAGTTTACTTGGAAGCCAGGAGGATTCTATTTATTGGCATTTTTGGGACTGGAAAAGCTCACTTTTGTGAAATAACAAGATAAGACTTTTTTGTGATAATGGAATGCACAATGTCAACTCTTCTAATATGGACATAAACTTGAAACAATAAGTTTATTTTTAAATACTATATTTGTGCTAGACAAACCATAGGACACACATCCATGTTTCTTAAAAAATGACTATTTGTTACTTTCTCATCGAAAGTGAAATTAGATTGCCATTTAGAGGTATAAGATTAGGTTTTTTTATTTTTTGGACATATTGTTAGACAATATTAACTATAAATTAATTACATGTTAATTCAATGAATAGAATGAAATTAAGACTTTATTGTGTATATCTAAATCTAACATACAATAAAAACATTTTTCAATAATTTGGTCCAATAAACACAAAAATGCTGAAATTACAGGTGACCAGGAGTGATCATTATATCAACTCAGGGGGTCTTCCCGGTGGCGCAGCAGGTTGAGCACAGTGCTGTGAAGCTGTCCGCAGCCTCTGCAGCGCGGGTTTGATTCCCAGCCAGCCAGAGAGATTCCCACATGGCGGAGCACGGCTTGCCCACTGCTCCTGTCTTGCCCACTGCTCCCCTCAGCGGTGTTTTCGGTCTTTCTGCCTGTTCTACTCCCCGCCCTGTCTCCGGTGAATTCTCTCGCCCTCCCAGCCTCTGGCCTGTACCTCAGTTCTTGTGTAAATAAATAAATAAATCTTAAAAAAAAAAAATCAACTCAGAAGAGACATCAAGATAAAAATAAATCGACTCAGGACTAATCAAGATAATTTAAAGTTTTGCTCCCAGGGTATTTACAAAGAACCCCAAATACCCAGAACACTCAGAAACTCTGTACCAAAGAGATTTCATAGTCTAATCTCCAGGGGCCAAAGAAGGATTGAAATGGATTTATTTTTTCCTCCACAGTTCATATTTTTCTGAATGTGACTAAATTTCAGAGATCAGGACTTTGAGCTAAATGTCAGCTGCTCATGTTCTTGTTCTGTTGAGGGAAGAATTTCTTGCATATGCTCTGGTGAGTTTCCTTAGGCTCTTAAAGAATAAATTACATGGAATAATAAAAACCCCACATGTTCCTGGGTTTGAGTGGGTGAGAGAGCCAGTCACTACCATTTAACTTGAAATACATGAAACATGTATGAACTACGAGTATTTTAATGGACATTAGGAATCTTGGAGAGAACTTTGTAAATTCATTCCATTACAGAAAAAAAAAAAAATGGAGTGCAATTTCCACCCCCCTAGCAATGCCTTATGTTATGTGACCATCATAGAAGTAACTCAGTGTGAATGTGTTTCAGGATAATGTTGTTTGATAGTCTTTGTGTTCATATTATCCATCGACTCTTATAATATTGATGTGAGTTGTGAGATACTTTGCACATCAGCTATTACCAATAAAAACAAGGTATGGTAAAAAATTAAAAATTTGAGAATAAATCAAATATTTTAATAAGAGCAAAACAACCACATTTTCCATCTTCACATGGTAAGAATCAAAAGGAACCGTAAGTAAAGACTGAAAGAACATGAAAAAAAAGACCAACTTCTAGTCATAACCAGTTGCCCAGTCATCTGATTTAAATGATTAGAGAAATTTTTGAGTTACAAAAAGTTCAAGAAGATTTGGAATGGACAAGTGAATGGTCAATTTTTTCTATAAATGTAGAGAAAAGGATTTACAACAAAATAACTGGTAAAATCATTAAATATATCATAAAATTGTTAACATAAACTTTGTCATGTTTTAAAAATATTATATCCACCTAAACACTAAATATAAATGTTTAGAAGCTTCTATCACTCTCAGCTTCTAATAAATCATTCCAGGTACATCATGAATTTCAGACTGAAAAACTGAAAAGGAGGGTCATTTTTCTGTGCATCTCAAGTCAAGCTAACAAATCTATCAACCAGCAATAAACATAATCATTCACTTGGCATTCGTTAATAATTATTATAGTTATGTGTTTCATTTCCCTAGACTCTTTATTCAGTGCTTATTCCATTCCTGTGTATTTACATATGTTGAGAGCATAAAGTGTTTATAATATAATTTCTTATTTCTTTGTCAGAATGTAGTGATCAAATTCCATTTCATAAAGAATACTTCATAATGATGATTTTCAAGAGTACCTAAAATATTATCATGAAAATATTTTTAGAATTTGTCAATAGAGTTTGCTGAGCTAATTTGAAATGAACATAGTTTTTTTTAACACTATCAAATAACTGAAATATTATCTAATAGAAAGTGACAAGGTTTAAGTTGCAGGTTACTTCAAGTCTCTGCTAAATAATTTGCTGTTTACTAGAAAGTATGCACAAAATTATGAACATACTACTTGCATATTTTAAGTTTATTTCTGTATCTATTTCATGAAATAAGTATTACATTTATTATTTTTTGATTTTATTATTTTGCTGAAGTAACATTTGTTTACAACACTGTATATGATTTAGGGGTCTAGGGTTACACCTTTAGATGTCTTTTTTTTGGTAGTCAAACTGAGTATTTGTATTTTATTCTTAATTAATGTGTTGGATACAAATTGATGTTTCATAGTTGATTTACATTTTATTTAACTAGGAGTTAAAATAGATGATATTTCCATGTGTGTATTAGTTCTATTATTTCTTACAAAAGTATCCTGGGGGAAAGTCTGTTCTTTTCCATTTCCCTTGGGAAATTAGTATTTTTCACCACTTTTTATGATATTTTATGTAAATGATAATGGTTGTTTATAGCTATAATTATTGCATACATATCAAATTGGCAATTCATAATTTTATTTATTAGGAAAATAAACATTTAGTTAGTTGAAAAAATCATGAGGAATTTTTCATCTCCTATAATAAACAAAATTATTAAATTTAAATGACAGAAACATTGTAATTGGAGTGGTATATGAATAGATAGGATGATGAATGGAAATTAATGGGTAGTTAACAAACATTTACACATGTGAGTATTTGAGCTATATAAAACTTTGCAATAGAAATCCAAATTCAGTGCTCCATATTCCCATTAGCAAGATTATATGTTTTACTAATTCTATTAAATACATACCTTTTTCCTTTTCTTTGATTGAAATAGACAATAATGAAATTTATAATCTCCTTACCCATGTTTCCATGACTGAATGTAAGTGATTAAAATTGGTTGACTTTATTAGTATACATGATTATTAGAAGGACTGTCACATTAATGATGAAGTGGTGAATTCTTCAAGTGATTTCTTGCCTAATTTCATTGAGTCCAAGGTGGGTTAGGTGGTTAAGTAATAGAAATTTTCTTTTCAATGGTTCCATATTGTCTTGCAGCCAACTTCGCTGGGAAATTAAGAAGGACTATGGCTAATTTCACTATGAGTGGATTTCTTCTGATGGGATTTTCTGCCAACCCTGAGCTAGGACTCTTCCATGCTTCTCTGTTTTTAGTTTTATACATGGTGGCATTAACTGGCAATATCCTCATTATCACTGCAGTTTCCATGGACAATAGTCTCCACTCACCTATGTATTTCTTCCTGAAACATCTCTCCTTCCTGGATCTGTGCTACATTTCCGTGACTGTACCAAGGTCCATTTACAACTCTTTCATGCATAGTGGGTATATCTCCATAGGTGAATGCATAGTGCAGTGTTTTGCTTTAATTCTTTGTAGCTCTGCTGAGCTCTCCATGCTGACAGTGATGTCTTACGATCGCTACGTGGCCATCTGCCTTCCCCTGCACTACGAAATCATCATGGATGTCAGCACCTGTGTTCACGGGGTCTCTGGAGTCTGGGTCAGTGGGGTCATTTCTGGAACCATGCACACAGTTGCGACTTTCTCCATGCACTTCTGTGGTTCCCATATCATTCACCAGTTCTTCTGTGACATCCCCCAGCTCCTGAAACTCTCTTGTGCTAATGAATATATCAGAGAGATTGGGGTCACTTGCTTTGTAGCTATTATGGTCTTTCTTTGTGTCACCTTAATTGGACTGTCCTATATCCAGATATTCTCTACCGTGCTGAGGATGCCATCTGCTGAGGGTAGAACTAAGGCCTTTTCCACTTGCCTTCCCCACCTCGCTGTTGTCATTTTATTCATTTCAACTGGTGTCTTTGAGTTTCTGAAGCCACCTTCTGACTCTCCTAGTGCACTGGACATTTTACTCACTATTATGTACACAGTTGTGCCCCCAATACTCAATCCGATGATCTATAGTCTGAGAAATAAAGCTATAAAGGCAGCGCTAAGAAAGGTTTTCCAAAGAACAAAAGCTGACCTCTCTTGTTGATGCACATCTGTTAATTCTTAGTTGGGAGATAAGTTCAAAATATATTGGAAAAATATATTGATAACATAGCTCACCAAGATATTATAGCTAAGTGAGACAATGAGTATAAGAAATACATGTTTATTTTCATTTATCCATACAGTGTATTTGTTAAAATGATATAGTTTTTAATTCGGGTATTGGTTGACTTATCAAGGCAGACAGACAGCATCTAATTACATAATTTCATGTGAAAAAAAGATAGTTTGTAAAATAGCTACATATTAAATACGCTGTTGAGGGACTTCAAAATTTACATGAATAAAGGATTAGCAAAGGCCTGGGGTAGAAATGGAATGTGAACATTGGCCTCCTGGGGACTATGACAGGGCAGCAAGGCAGCACTACAATGAGCTCTGAAATTTGTTCCTTTTCATAAGATGGCTGGTCCCATCTTACTCTTGATCAGGCAATCTCACTGGTGAGTGGCTGAACATTTCACTTTGACCACATCTGAGGAAAGAAATCAACACTGGAGAGACACCAATATTGATATAATCAGAGGCAAAGAAGAAGAAAGGAGAGGGACTGACATAATAACAAGAATTCAAACTTTTGACAAGATCTGTTGATTGCTTTTGCAAGTGTCTTTTTCCTAATTTATCTGTTATTCTCCTTCCAATAACATGCTCTCTTGATTACACTCATTTTGCAATAAATCTTGGAATGGGGAATATGATTTCTTCCTATCAGTACCTCAGTGCCTTCTAGACTATTCAAGGTTTAAAAAATTTGTCTAGAGCTGCAAAGGTATTTGTTGGGATTTTTATTGTGTTTATAATGAATCTATCCATTAAGTTGGAAAAAATTATCTTAAATTATTTTGTCTCTTGACAGTGTTCCCTAGTTTTCTACATACAAATTTGTACATTTTTTTGTTGGATTGAAACCCGAGGGTGTCTTTTCTTTCTTCTTTTCTTCCTACCACTCTTCCGTCCCTCCTTGCACATGTGTTGTAAATGGTGTTTTTCTTTCAAGCTCCAATGGTTCATTACTAGCATTTAAGAAAGTAATAGACTTCTGTACATTGTCATGTTCTTTGCTTCTTGTTATTTCCACCAATTCTCATCATGACACGATACTGAGCTCCTTTTCTTCTGAAGTTCGCAATTTGACTTAATCGATGACCTGAAAGGGGCGCCTTTCAACCACTAAACTGTGAGCTCTCAGCATCCTGCGCTGCCATCCTTGATCAGCAGCTGGCGCCTGAACCCCATTTCTAGTTCCCTTGGAGCGTGGGGCTTCGTTTCCTAGGTAACAAACGAGGGGCAGTGGGGGCATGGGGGCAAATGAGACCGGTTTCTGCCCAGCAAACGCTCCAGCCTGAGGTCTTACATCTGAGCAGGAGGCTGGACTGTCTTTCCCTGGGACACGTTTCTAGAACAGCAAGCACAGACATTTTCATTTTCTGGATTGTTCCCACATGTTTCTCAAGGTTTTGGCAAGATCTATTTTACACATAAAAAAAAAAAAAATTCTTGACCGAAGGTTTTCAGGCATTAAGATCATGTTTGTTGGTGGGCTTTTTGGTGTTTTGTTTTTGTTTTTGTTTGTTTGTTTGTTTGTTTGTTTGTTTTTTACAACTCCAGGGTTGTTTCTGAGGAGAAATCCCAATGCAGATTCAGAGACTGGCAAAGCCCATAAAAAATAGTGACAGCGACATACAGTTGCCAGAGTATCGGGGCTCCCAATGGGAGGAGTTGGGGAGCACTCAGCCGCACAGATACATGGATGCCCCTTTACACCTGCTTTCACTAAGTTTTGAATGATCAATGCTTCTTAGAGCTATTAAGTAGTAGGGAAAGTATTGCAAAATGGAAGAATGATGTGTGTTATAATTCATGACACTATTTGAAGTTGAAACATTTTGAAGTAGGGCAAAGTCAAATAGTTTCTTTTTTTTTTTTCTGTCTATTTTCCAATGCAAATGGTGTCCTATTGTAATAAGATTTTCCCTTCATCTAACACGCTCAAAGCTGCCCTAGCTCTTTCTCATTGGAGAGAAATAAATAAAGCATTTAATATGTAGCCATCACACTGCTTTGCAAAGTTTCGATTTTTCCTTGAAGAGCTCTCTTATCGAGTCCTGCTAAATCAAAGCTCTATGAAAATTAAAATTTCCAAGTGCACAATTCTTTGGGGTTTAGTACATTCACAAGGTTGTGCAAACACCACCTCTATCACATTCCAGAAATCTTCCAGCTCCTGAAAAGAAATCTCGTGCCCATTCCCCCTTCCTCCCAACCTCCACAACCAATCTACCTCTGCTTTTCCGCATTTGCCAGTTCTGGTTAAGTCACATAAATGGAGTCACAGAGCATGTGTTTTTCTGTGTCTGGCTTTCATTTAGCCTAATATTTTTTTTCAAAGATTTATTTTTTTATGCATACAAAAACTGGGGTATAGGCCTGAGGTACAGGGGTTGGGGGAGGAGGAGCAGGGAGGGCAAGAGGATTCACCAAAGACCAAGTGGGGAGCAGAACAGGCAGATCTACACCGCTGAGGAGAGGTCTGCTCTGCCATGTGGGTCAGCTCCCTGGCGGGGAATTGAACTCATGCTGCAGAGGCTGGAGATAGCTTGATAGCGCTGAGACTTTAACCTCTGAGCCACCAGGGAGGCCCTAGCCTAATATTTTTGAGTTTTATCCATGATGTATTAGTGCGTCTTCATTCATTCTTATTTATGCATTTGAATCATTCTCACCATTTGATTGCTGTGAATGTTATGACAATAAATATTTGAATAAAAGTATCTGTTTGAGTGCCTGTTTTCTAGGTTTTTTAATTCATGCCTAGAAGCAGAGCCGCTGAGTCTTGTGGTAATGCCATGTTCAAGTTTCTGAGGAAGTGCCAAACAGTGTTCCACAATAGCTGACCCACTTTCCATTCCATAGAGCAGTGTTCAGGAAATTTAATTTCTCAACATCTTTACTAATGCTTATTATTTTCTTTCTTTTCTATGATAACCATCCTAGGAGATGTGGCAGGTTGCTTGTGGTTTTGGTTAATATATCCCTCACTGCTCATGATGTCAAACTTTTCTTCATATATCATTGTCCTGTTGTCAATCTTCTTGGGGGAATTTTCCATTCAGGTACTTTGCTCATGTTTTAATATGATTATTAGTTTCTTGCTGTTGCTACAAATGTTCTTTATCCTTGCTATTAACCCCTCATCAGATATATGATTTTCAGATCTCTCCTCCCATCCCAAGTTTGCCTTTTCATTCCGTTGATTATGTCACTGATGCACAGAACCATTTAATTTTGACATCATCCAAGCTATCTGTTTTTACTATTGTTGCCCATCTTTGCTCGTTTTTGAATTGGAGAGTCTTGCCTTTTGAGGGGTAAGAGATTTTTTGTTTTGTTTTTCTTTTCTTTCGATGATGAGCCACACACACAAAGCAATTCCAAATGCCGGTTGCCTGGTGATATCAGAGTCAGGGTACCTCATGGGTTTTTCCCCGGGAACAGACTCAGACATGTCGTGGTTACTATGTCTTCTGGTTACATCATTTCTCTTTAATCTCGTGTTTTGTTCAACAAGAACCCTAAGCTTACAAAAACAGTGCTAATGTCACTAAGAGGTCAGTTGAGTGTCTAACCTGAAAACAAATTTAAAAGTGATTAAAGATGGAAGCTTGGTGATTGTTATTGCTCATGAGTCAGGCATGTCCTGTTTCCCCATGATCTTGAAGAGCAAGGACAGAGTGGCAGAGAGATAAAGCATCTACCTCATGGAAAGTAACAAATCCAATGCAAATTTTGAGAAGGGCGATATCAGATATAGGAGAAATTGCCACTAGTCCCGAACTCAAGACTGTATCCCTTGGGCCTCCCCGGTGGTGCAGCAGTTGAGTGCTGGGTTGTGAAGCTGTCCACAGCCTCTGCAGCGCTGGTTCGATCCCCGATTGCTCCCTGGCCACAGGAGGAGGGTCCCACATGGCGTGCAGATCTCTCCTGCCACCCGCTGCTCCCCTAGCAGTGTACTTCAGTGTACTTCTGCCTGCTCTGCTCCCCACTCTGGCTCTGGTGAATTCTCTCACCCTCCCACACCTCTGACTGGACCCAGTGCTTGCATAAAAAAATAAATTAATTTAAAAAAAAATGACTGTATCCCTTTTGGCACCAAACTCAAGGCTGAGAGTATCCCTCTTGGCACCAAATGATCACAATGAAAGCAAAAAGTTTGTGAAATAGGTTGTGATGTTAAACCAAGCTCTGGATAGTTTAAATGGTTCAAGAATTGGTATTCATTACACAGTGTGGAAGTGAGTGTGAGTCTTGCCAGCGCTGATCTAAAGTCAGCTAAAGCGTTTTTTGGAAACTTTAGATAAGCTAATGGTAGAGGGAAATTACTAGCTAGAGCGAATCTTCAATGGGGATGAAGCTCCCTGTTCTGGAAACAGATGTCTGAAAGGAATTTCATTCATCAAGAGGTCAAGTCAATACCAGGTTTCAAGTTTTTTAAGGAAAGGATAGTCTTGCTTGGGGCCGTGTTGCAGGTTACAAACTATTATAAAACTCTTTGTGGCCTGGCACAGTGAGAACCCAAGATGTTCAAGGACCTCAGTAAGCACACACTGCCAGTGAACTGCAGGGACATTGACACGGCTCATCTTCCAGGATGCCCTCCTCAATTGCTATGGCAGCAAAATGGAGAATTATAGTTCGGCAAATAACACCTTTCAAGACTTTGCTTATTGCTGATAATGCTCCTGGACCTAGTCCTTTTATTGGTCATTGTCATCCCATTATCAAAGTGGTTTTTCTCTCTCCAAATACCACTTCCATCCATGTTGTAGCAAATGGCAAGATTTCATCTTCATGACTGAGTAGTATTTCATTATGTATGTGTACATATTCCCTATATATGTATATGTTTATCTATATATACACACATACACATTCCACATCAATCTCTTTTTAAAGGTCTTAGCAAGCAAAACAACCGCTAAT